CTGGCGATAACCCTTTCCGGGGGATTAATGTGATTTGCCAAAAATATTTGAGTCTGATCACTTTTCCCGTAATTAGGTTTATTGGATAAAAAACTTAACGTTTTGTTGGTAATATTGAACTACACCAAAACCATTTTGAACCTAGGGACATTTTGTTCAAAATCATGAACAGAACGTTAGAGATTTCACACACATTTTTTATCCCTAACATTCTGTTAGTTATTTTGAAATGTCGATCTTACGGACAAAAGTTTTCTTTCTAGGGGGGTAGCACCCATTGGGGCCCATGATTTCACTGACCCAGGAGGGGGAGGTGGCTTGAATTTAGAATTTTTTTCAAAGAGTCTATAAAAAGAGATCCTACTTCTATTGTTATGTTTTAAAAATACAATATCAGAATAGAAATATGCATTGAAATATTCTTTATTTTTATGATATATAATCTATCTATTTGAGATCAATAATAGCTCTGGCTAGCGAATGGGGAAAAAAGCTAAATTCTTACGACATTTAGGAAGATTAAATCTAAAGGAAGATATTTTTAAGATAAAATCGAAAGAAAGTTATGATTTCTAAAGGTGGAAATTTGCACGATAAAATCTTAAGAAAGATATAATCTAAAGGAAGATATTTGAAAGATAAAATCGGGAGAAAGATGTAAAGTAGAGGTAGAGATTTGCAAGGTAAAATCTTAAGAAAGATAAAATCTTAAGGGAGATATTTGCAAGATAAAATCTAAATTGAAGAGATTTGCAAGATAAAATCTAAATTGAAGAGATTTGCAAGATAAAATTTAAAGAAAGAAATTGGGAATTTAAAAGCTGAAAGGAGAACGAGAAATTTGTCAGACAAAATATTCAAAGGAAGATATTTTCATCTAAAGGAAGAGATTTGGAAGTTAAAATACAAAAGATAATATTTACAAGATAAAACATTCAAAAGGAGATACTTCCAAGATAAAATCTAAAAGATAATATTTGTGAGATAAAATCTACAGGGAGAGATTTGCAAGATAAAATATAAAGTGAAGAAATTTGCAAGTTAAAATAAGGTCTTCAAACAGATATTTTTAAGATATAATCTAAAAGATGAGATTTATCAGATCAAATCAAATTAAGGGATTTGCAAAATAAAATATACATGAAGATATTTGTAAGTTAAAATTTACAGAAAGAGATTTTTAAAATAAATCTCAAGATGAAATTGTATGGTAAAGATTTGCAAGAGGAAATATATGGGAGATATTTGCAAAACATCTTCTTACAAGAGAGTTTTGAAAGATAAAATCTTAAAAGAGAGATTTGCAAGATAAATCTAAAGGTAAATCATGGCGGTCTTGCGAAAAAGAAGTTATAGCTACAAACTTGTATTCTAACTATCTATCTATCTATCTATTTATCTATCTAAATATCTATCTATCTAAATATCTTTCTACATATCTATCTATCTATTTATCTATCTAATCCTGATTGCCCTAATGAAAGACAATAATATAATATATGAATACCAATCTTCACTAAAATACACAGTGAGAGAAGATCAGAAAAACAAGGAGGGGNTTCTTCTTCTTCTTCTTCTTCTTCTTCTTCTTCTTCTTCTTCTTCTTCTTCTTCTTCTTCTTCTTCTTCTTCTTCTTCTTCTTCTTCTTCTTCTTCTTCTTCTTCTTCTTCTTCTTCTTCTTCTTTTTTGTTTTTCCTCTTCTTTTTCTGTCCCTTTCCCCCTCTATTTTTAACACTGGATGATCTCAAATATAGTAAAACCTAAACCTGTTTTTTATATGTTTTGAATTTCAGAATTAAAATGATCGTGAAGTAGAAAAAAAACAAGTTAGTTGATTAAAAATGGAAGCAGACACGCTGAAAAAATGAAAGACAGCGACAAACAGGAAAGAGATGGAAAAAACTAAATCAAATAAAATTTAAACTAGAATAAGTCAAATTTAGGGAACGATCACTTTTTTTAATAAGTACCAATAATCTGAATAAAAACTAATTTAGTCTTGCGAAATATTTTTGAAAGAAGAAAATAGTTTTAGTGCCATCGAGTAGCCTACAGGGATTGTAAGTGTAGTTTTAGGTGATCCTCCGGCCATAAAAAGATGCCCGATTTATAACGGTACTCTTGAAACCTTTACCTAATCAATAATGTGGGAGATATTGTCGTTTTTCTAGGTTTAACGCGTTTAACTCTGCTAATTCCTGTATGTTTTCCTACTGTTAACATGTGCAAGTCACTTTTGCATTAGAAAAAAAAAACAATTGAAACTTACAGTTTTAAAAATTATAAATATTGATATCTAATTCTAAATGAAAAAGACAAAGCTTTTCAGGGTACAGCACTGGTGTGATTTGTAATATTTGCATGAAGTGTCAATGTTTCTTATTGTGAAAATAAGAATATGATGTGTATGTTTTTTAATAGGTTTTGTTTATCTTTTCATCGTTTTCTTTATTTCTTTGAATAAAGTTTTGCATAGTTCAATAAAAACAAAATCGTAAAACTTGCAACTCAGATTTATGTTCAATTTATTTTAGGGTTTAAAAAAATTGAAGTTTAAAAACTGAATTAAAATTGATGGATAAATACTTTAAATGGAAACCTAAGCAATTACCTAAGCTGTTTTTCTGTGATTCCTGTATCGAAATTTTTAATTATCTTTTTCCAAATGAAAAATCACTAATGCACTTTATTGTAACCAAATATTATGCAATCAAGATGAAATTTACTATTTAAACTATTTTTTTTTAATTTTCTTTTTTGTTAAAAAATTTACGATTATGCTTTTTTCTTGATATGTCTCGGCTCGGATCATGCAACTTTCAAAGTGGTGTGCCCATCCCCCGAAAATGCACGATATTTTTTTGGCTGTTTTTTTAAAAGCCATACTGCCCTGCATTTGTGTTTTTTAATGTATAATAGAGGGCAATTTTGGTCTTATGTAAAATCTATAATATAGCTCTACACTACACCCAATCTTCTCTTGGGGAAACTTTGTGAATAGCTTTTGCTTTAAATATTAAGATAAGGTCAACTCTAGGGGCTGTGAGCGTAACTCAAGTGACTTGACTACAGACTTTTCCTTATTTACCTACAGAATACTTGTAATTGTTCAACAATTTCTTTGCAAACTGTTTTAAATTGAAGAAATACTAAAAAAATATTAAATACTAGCTGAAGTGCCCGGCATTGCCCTTGGAAATTTTTTTTTTTAAATAACAAAAAATTTCGAATTTTTTTATCCTACAACACAGCCGCCCATGAGTGTCCACAAAAAATGTCAGCCCATTTGTTCCGCCGTTCGCCGGCTATAGGTAACATATATATATATATACGAATGTCTTGTTTTATTATATAGATTAAATATTACTTTCTATAAGTGGTATAAACATAAATATTCGATTGTTTTAAAACCACATGGACATTTATGACATAAATGTGACGTCATATGAGTACGCTAGTGTTCACTACACTTTTATGGCTTTTGAAACAAAGTTTAAGGCATTTATACTCTTAGATCTCTATCCTTAATAATCAGTTAAAGGTTTAAAGGGTACCGTTGTGAATCAGGAATGTCATTCTTTAAATAGAAGGTCACTTGAAACTTCGCTTACAGCCCCTTTAAAGTTGTGTTAACAATTCCTCTTTTTAACCAAATAAATGGCGATTTATAAACATCAAAAGTATAATTTAAGATTATTATTTATCATCCTTTATCCATTTATCAATATACACTGAAGGTTTATTGGAATAAAAATCTCATTGAGGATTATTGTGCAAGTAGCGTAAAAGATAATTATGGGTTTTCTATAAGAAAATTTTATACAGAGTTTGAATGTTCATTCATATAATCCTAAAGATGTATGATACAACAATTGTCATAAATTTCTAACGCAAGAATGGTGATGCCTTCCCCCCCCCCTTCCCCGGGTCAATTTTCAGGTATTTTTGTTCCTTGAATGAAAAATTAATTGATATAAGAATATTAAACATAAAAGACATTAAACCTGAAATTCTGTGCATAATTTTGAAAAAAATGTCGTAATATCAAAATAAACAAATGAAAAAAGAACAAAATGTTATGGTTTCCTTTAACAGTGTAGTTCTATAGCGGGATAATTCTAAGGAAATGTGGTGTAGAGCAATAAATTATTTTCATGGCCCAGGCTCAAAGAATATAGATTATAGAAAAAAATGATTATCATGCATATTATGTTTATTCTTCTATCTTGTTTTTTATGCCAATTTAGTTCTAAATTTTTATTAAATAAATTTATTTAATGTGTTTTTTGAGCATATTTTCTCTTAAAACTAATTCCTGCACTTTTGAAACGACAAAACAAAATTCAAATAAAAACTTATTATTTTCTATTTTTGCAACCTAATGTTGTAGACCTTTGAAATCTCATACAATAAATTCTGCAAGATCGAATTAAGTTGCTGTTTTAGATCATATTAAAGGTTTCTACCATCAAGATGGTATAGGGATAAGACAAATTTAGTGAAATTTTTCTTTAATCATTTTACAGAAGCAAAATATTATATTTATACAATATGTGCCCCTTGAAATAGCTGTTAATAATAAAGAAAATCAGTAGTGTTAGTGAAAATGGAAAATTTTAAAACCTTAATAATATGAGGGAACAAACCGGAGTTCAAAACAATTTACAGAATTGAAAAATAGTTAAAATTGGGCAAGTTATGGTAAAAAATCGTTTTTCTCTAAAAATTTATTTAAGACTTTAACCTATTCGGTCAAATTTCAATATTTTTCGATTCTGTAAATGAATTCAGAAATTCGACTCGGTTCCCATAATACGCAATTTAATAAGTTTTTTAAAATTTTAATTTTCACTAATGACTTTTTAACATTAAACGTTATTTCAGGCTGCCATTTTTTATTTTTGTGAAAAATGAATTTGATAAACATGGTTTAGTATTCCTAGTAGAATACTGTTTTGCTTCTGTAAAATTGTTTCAGAAAAATTTCACACCCTAGGGGGAGGCAAGAGAGTTGAAGTGGGGCTAGAAAATAACCCCCCCTACCCTCTACCTGCTCATGTTCCCCAGCCGAATATAGTTACTATAGTAGGAGAGGATGGGAAACCAAGACCAAAGGCAGCAACTATTTATGTACGGAAACCTGTACATAGAATGCCAGCTCTAGGTATGTTATTGTATATTGTACAATCTGTACTACAATCCTCCCACCCCCCTCCTTCCACTCAGCTTAGGTCTAAAATTGGAAATCTTTGCTTGCTTATTGAAAGGTGTTTTCCTTAAATGGAAACTGTATTGGCGTAATTTCAAGTGCGCATTCGTTTGTAGATGGCGTGTCCGATATAGAGGTACCCTTTTCACAACTTTAACACGATCAACGAAGAAACCGTTGTTTTTTTCAGGCTTAAATAGTGTTGCATTTGATAATTTCTACATTTTTTCCAGAGACAGAAATGCGCAAGTCACTTTTGCAGAGAAACCATAACTGAAAACTATCAGTTTAAGAAAAAATGTGGATATATCATTTACACTTGGTCAGAAAAAGCTTTTAAGATAAATCGTTTTTGCCATGGAGGGTTAAGTTTATAACGATAATAACGTTTATAACGTTTATAACGTTTATAACGCCACTTTGACAATAAATAAATTTACTAATAAATGAAATCAAAATTAAGGTTGGAAAAATGCATTTCCATTATGAAAGTTCGTACAAAGAATTCCATACAGAAAGTACAAATTTTGCGATGCTCTTAAAATGCAGAAATTGAAAGACTTGCGCACAACTTCTTTTATCCACTAGAAAATACTATTTGACACCTGAAACATGCATATCACAGAATTTAGCATAAATTGATTGATATCAAATAAATAGATATATCGATAAATATTGATTGATGTGTTCTTTATAATGATTGATGGAGATATCCTATATAATGATTGATGGAGATATCTTATATAAAGATTGAAAGCTTGTTTTATGGTCGTTATGTAGATGCACTAGGACATAAAACAGATTGCATACTTTGACATAAACATAAATATGTAGGTTCAATACAGCGTGTCTTAAAATTCTATAGAAAGAGATAAATTCGCCATATTTCCTTTCTAACTCTACGGAGCATTCAAAACATCTTGCGCAAGTAAAAGACTTTTTTGCTGTTAATTTCATAAATAAATTTAATGTGATTTTTCGCAAATATTGTTTATTTTTTATTTATCGCATATTAAATCTTGCTTTGTCTGAGTCTTAAAAAGACTCAGTTTTATAATTATTTTCTTTTCTCTTTCATTCTTCTTTGATGTGCATTTTCTGGATCTAAAATATTTTTCTTTTTAAACTTTTTTTATCCATTTAGTCATTCTTTCTTTCTTAGTTTTCCATTTAGTTTTCCGTTAAATGTTCGTTTATTTTCCGTTTAATTTTCCGTTTATTTTTCCGTTTCATTTTCATTTTAGTTTTCGTTTAGTTTTCAGTTTAGTTTTCCATTCAATTTTTTTAGGTTTCCGTTATATTTTCCGTTTATTTTTCCGTTTCATTTTCTGTTTAGTTTTCCGTTTATTTCTCAGTTTATTTTTCCGTTTATTTTTCAGTTTAGTTTTAGTTTAGTTTTCTATTCAATTTTCCTTTACTTTTCCGTCTAGATTTCTGTTTTAATATCCGTTTAATTTTTCCTTAAGTTTTCCGTTTCGTTTTCTTTTAGTTTTTGTTAAGTTTTCCGTTCCAATTTTCTTTCAGTTTTCCTTTTAGTTGTCTGTTTAATTTTATGTTTCAGTTTACGTTTAGTTTTCCGTTTAGTTTCTGTTTCAGTTTACGTTTAGTTTTCCGTTTAGTTTCTGTTTCAGTTTACGTTTAGGTAAACTTAAGGTTTTCTTTTGTTCTTCGTTTTTAGTCTGTTTATTTTTCCGCTCAGTTTTCCGCTCAGTTGTCCCGGAATGCAACTTGGAATAGATTTAATAGAAGTGATCTACAATAAATACATATAAAGTGACAGTATACAGTAAACAGTTTACAGTATACAATATACATAAACTTTATACGTTTATTTATACATTACATTAAGTGCAACATCTGCAATATCAATTTGAGACAAAATATATAGGCTAAAACATATCTATTGATTTTTAATCAATTCAAGTTGTAGGGTTATCCATCAAGAATAATATTCTAATTGATGACTGTTTCTGTAAAATAAAAAAACTGTAAACTCAGCTACATTAATACAACAAAATTAGGTTTTTTACATAAGACAGGAAAGATAATGATGTCATAAAAGAATCTTAAATCGTTAACATGACTGTAAGCGTAATTCCAAGATAGCTATACCTGATTTACAACGACACCCTTAATACATTTATCTGATCAATAGTGTGGAAGATGTTTTCATTTGTCTGGGGTTAAAAGTGTTTAATTCTGATAGTTCTAGTATGTTTTGTAGAAACCCCACAACTAAGAATAATCATTTTTCAAACTTGAAAATGTAGCCTATGCTGATCTTTCTTCCCTTTTGTCCGAATAAAATTCTATTTTTGTTTGTATTTTTTAATGTTGTATTACTAAGTGCAACACATCTTCACACTTCTATTTTTCTAAATACATGTAAGTTATTCAATATAAAATATTTACATACATTCCATGAAGCCTTGACGTACGTCGTTTCACAGCAGGTTCTGCAAACCCCTTTCCCAGACCCCTGGCTTGACCAGTTCTTTAGTTACTACGTAAATACTTTTCTATGCCTTTTTGGCGTGTATGCCCTTTCTTTATGCATGTAGAACAATTAAGGGCTTGTTAGTTATATTTATGCAATTTTGGGCTTAAGTATGAAATCTGTTAGATCGTTTATATTTCAAACTTATGTTGCAAAGACATAGGGATTAGAAAATTTGAGCTTGTGGCAAAAACTTTTCTCCCTAAATTCTAAAAACATTTTGGAAAAAATTTATTTAAAGATAACCTTATGAGAGAAAAGGTTCTCAACCTTCTGTGTACCACTGTGTTCTTAATATTTTGTATATATTTATACCCCACTTTAAACCATTGTGTTCTCAACCTCCTCTAAATATATCTAATCCCATTTTTAACCATTGTGTTCTCAACCTTATGTACATACATTTTACCCAACTTTAAACCATTGTGTTCTCAACCTTCTGTAAATATATCTAATCCCATTTTTAACCATTGTGTTCTCAACCTTATGTACATACATTTTACACAACTTTAAACCATTGTGTTCTCAACCTTCTGTAAATATATTTAACCCCACTTTAAACCATTGTGTTCTCAACCTTTTGTAAATACATTTAGTCCCACTTTTAACCAATGTGTTCTCAACCTTATTTATATACATTTCACCCCACTTTAAACCATTGTGCCGTCGTTTCTCAATAAATACACATTTTCAATTCTGAATGGTAAACCTGGTATTTGGTAAATGAAGAGGGTTGAGTTTGCCAAGATAGATTTGGAAGCTCCCCCGCCTCACTTTAAACATTAATCTCAGGGATTTAAATCTTTTTACAGAGACAGACATGGGAGCCAAACATAGGGAGATGAATATAGGGAGCCAAACATAGGGAGATGAATATATGATATAAGGAGTTAAACATAGGGAGATGAATATAGGGAGCCAAACATAGGGAGTTGAATATATAATATAAGGAGTTAAACATAGGGATTTGAATATAGGGAGCCAAACATAGGGAGTTGAATATATAATATAAGGAGTTAAACATAGGGAGCCAAACATAGGGAGTTGAATATATGATATAAGGAGTTAAACATAGGGAGATGAATATAATGAGCCAAACATAAGGAGTTGAATATGGGAACCTAACATAGGGAGATGAATATGGGAACCTAACATAGAGAGATGAATATGGGAACCTAACATAGGGAGATGAATATGGGAACCTAACATAGGGAGATGAATATAGGGACACAAGTAAACCTAGGTACACAAGTAGATAGAAACAGGCATGGATAGAAACACAAGAAGATAGAACCACAAAAGGCAATGTCAATTTAAATGTCTTTGTAACACAAAATCAGAACTTTTGAGAAAATTAGAAACACATAAAAAAAAACTCTTCCTCCGTGAAGGCTGTAGACGGGAATGGATTTATTGATGGCATTTGTTGTAAATGTGTATAATATACTACATACTATACCCTACAATACCACAGGGGATACTAGCTGCTACTTTCGTTAAAAACCATCTTTAAAAAAAATTGAATAAAAGTTAATTTCTACACAATAATACTGCTGTTATATAAAGATACTAGCTTGGGAACCCAGCTTTACCCGCAAATATAAAAAATTTCCCGGCTTCTGAAACGCGACTCTGATTGGTTGAATTTTATACACTTTTCAAGATTAGGTTAGTCTCAAGATTGAGCCAAAGAGAGGATCAAGCATTGATCTCGATATCCACCAATCTAAAGTTCCCAGCTCAGATTAATTAACCTATCAGGATTGAGGATATTTTAAAGTTTTCAGCTCAGGACCTGTAGCTGTTGAATTGTTTGCTTATATCGATCTTAAATTTGATCTTGATATTGATCTTGATTTTGATCTTGATCTTGATCTTGATCTTGACTTTGACTTTGATCTCGACCTTAATCTTAAACTATCTTGTTTTCAGGCCATGTTGCTGTTGGATTGTTTGCTAAAGCCGACAAAGAGGATAATGACCTGTATGGCAGAAATCCATCAAGTAATAATCTTTTTAAATATTTTTTCATCAACCATTTTTCTGAACTGAACTCTCCTCAATCGCGATTTTTATATTTATATCTTTGCTACAGTAACTCTGAAATAGTAAGACCACGTTTAAACTCTAGTTATGACTTTAAATAACACAAATCCATTTCTCTTAATGACTGATTTAATGAGTGTCTTGTAAAATATTTGCTTTGTAACAACCTCAAATTATCTTAATTATTTTTTTTAGTGTTTAGTGCTTTTTGGTTACCACTGTAGGTTTACAGCCTCAAGTTGCAAACATATAAGGATTATAGAATTATAGTTTACACTTTTTTTGCACGAAATCTTTCATCTGAACATACAAGATATCTAATATCATGAATCTGAAAACAGTTCCACGAAAAAAGACAGTTGAGCGACGACTTGAAGGTCATCCCACAAGGATAATTCTCAAAACAAAAAAACTCCCAAATTTTGAAATTTGACCTAGCTTTTTTGAGCTTTGGAAATCACGATACAAATGGAAAAAATACAAATAGTTTTTTTAAAGAATTTTAGGTTTAAAACTATGTTGATAAATGAATGCTAAAACTCATTTCAATCTTGTTTCGTGGGATACCCTGTATCATAGATGATTATTAATTTCTTGATAAACTTTTAATTAATGAATCACAGTTTAGGTTTCCATTCACCAAGTATTCCTTTGTTATGTTTTTCATTGTAAACTGTTTTTGAAAAATATTACAAGACTAAATTTCCAAAAATGGTTTGAAATGACAAAAACAGAATTTTGAACCTTTTATATATCTAACTATTTATCTTTCTATTTATCTCAGTATCTGTCTATCTATCTATCTATCTATCTATCTATCTATCTATCTATCTAGCTATCTATCTATCTATCTATCTATCTATCTATCTATCTATCTATCTAGGGGACCAGGATAATGCTGGTATCTGTGCTATGATCCTGACAAGTTTCTCCTTCCTTGTATTCCTCGCCACTATGCCCATCTCCCTCTTCATGTGTGTCAAGGCAAGCAAATTAAAGGGACTTTATGGACAACATTTAGAGTGACTCTTCATTTAAAGAGTGGTACCCTTTAATAAGTACAGCTATATATTCTGAGTAAAAATGATATTAACTTCATTAACTTTCTTTTCATAAATTCAAAATTAAGAGATTAAACAGAATTTGCCAAAATTGTTCTCCATGTTGCACCAAAAAAGTGAAAAGGTGAATTTTTAACTCCGCAAGGTGAATGTAACTCCACAAATGGGGAGTTCCTTAAAAGGTGTTGACAGTCCCTTTAGACAGTGCATTGGAAAAGTTGACGTTCTTGCTCTTTCGTTCAATAATAAATATTTAAAAAGATTTTTGTAATTTAAAACAGAAATTAGAATTAAGAAGTAAAAGCCAACAATAAAACTAATTGCTTAACAACAACATGAGAAGTATGCACATAGGATTTAATCATAGAGAATAGAATATATAGAGAGGAATTTACTAGAAAAAAGTGTAAAACGGCCATTTTGTTGTACTGTTTCCATACTGCAGGTGTACTTCACATATGTATGCTTTTTAACCTGTTGGGCCCTGGAATATCATTTTATAGAAAATCTAAAATTATTGTTAAAAGAAAACCAAATTATGAAATAGGCTGGTTTTATAATTGACCAATGATCATTTCACATAGACTCTATGCCTTCCACTTCACAAACGATGATTTTCCGTTATAACTATAAATCAAATGATGTTTTTTATTCACTTAATTCATTATAAAGTTTATTTAACAGTTTAAAAAATTCGAAATTGAAATGAATAGTCTAGGGAACATACTGTATTAATGTACTCTACTGCATATAATTTGTGAACATTTACATGATTTGTACACTTTGAACTCCCTTTCAGGCTGAAAGGGACTGAAAAAATTCATACCGAGAGATTCTTTTAATTCCTCTCTATATATTCTATTCTCTACGGATTTAATAAAGGGGGTTTCATCCTCCGTGTATCATTTGGAAAGGTAACTTAAGGCCATATTTTGCTGTCTCAAATATGCAGAAATCTATAGAATCTAGAAAAGACATGGCAGCGTGCATTAGTTACAATTTTCAGAAAGTTTTGAAAAAATATTTATATTGTGATAAATGTTAAATTTTTGCGACATTACTAGTAAGAATTTGTGACCTCATTGCTTCTCTAGTTTGGATTTTGCGCCAGAAGTGTGATTTATCCGGTTTACATATTAGAAGAACTTCAAAACATTTTTGCTCTTCTCAATACGTGAACGAGACTTTTGATATATCCGACCTGTGGCCGAATTTAAAGAATTTGAGCGGCGGTTTAAATTTGAGCCGCGGCTTAAATATGGTTGGTTCCACTTAAAATTGTATCAAATGTTTCAAGATTTAAGCCGGCGCTTAATTTAAACCGGGTTTTGGCAGATTTAAACCGCGGCTCAAATTCTTTAAATTCCATCTCTGGTCACAGTTAGTTGGAGAGTTCTCGTTTTAATGCAAAACTCAATTCTAAGAAGAAATTGCAGTTATAATATTTTAATTAACTCTTCCCTAAAAAATAAAGACAAAAATATGACAGACAATGAAGTTAGAATATCTTAAACTTTAATTAGAAATATGCTTGTCAAACAAAACTCCTCATATTGAAGAAGTATTGAGAGGAACTAAACTGTTTTAAATATGTAATATTAACCTAATAAATTTGCTTGTGTCATGCTTGTGCATAAAATTTATAGAGGAGCAATAATGTTACAAATTTGTACCATTAATTTCCCTTAAATGTGACCTTATTCTTCTGTCTATGACGTTAGAAAATAGAAAATCAGGGCTTGTGGGATTAGAACTCATTTCCTTTCAGAATTAAAAATATTCCTTGTTAATCAAATAATCAATTTACAAAATTATTTACAGCAAATTTGATAAAATAATACAAATATTAATTTTCTCAGGTTGTTCAAGAATACGAGAGGGCAGTGATATTTAGGTATATTTGTCCTTTATTTAATGTTTTATTTCACGGCTCTCAATTTTCTCGGTAATCTTAATTTATTAAAACTCTCTTCCATTTTCTTTATCTTTTTTTTAAAATTTTTATTGGTTTCTAATTTTCTAACTTAATTCATTTCTTAACTTACCAAGCTTCTACAATTATACATATAAATGCTCCCCTCCATATTTTAGTTATTTTTTCAGATCTTCATTTTTAATTTTCTCCTTTTTTTCGATAATTAATGTTTTTCAGTTTTTCTTTTTTATTTATTCCTTTTTAATAATATTTTGTTTTTTTATTTTGTAACTGCTCAAGCACATATTTAGCAAGATTTTATTCTTAAATTCTCGTTATTAAAGGGACTGTATAGACATAAATTTAGGTTATCCTCCATGCTCCATTTAAAGAAAGCTAGATATCCAATTCACAACGGTACCCTTTAAATCTCTACTGGAGGAACAATAAAAAAGATATCGGCGTTTTTTCATTTAAAAAAATGATTATATCAGTTAATTGTTTTAATGCAGTGGGTCTCTGAAACACAAAACGCCTAAATCACTTTCATAGAGAAACCACGAAAATAATCAATATTTAACTAGACAGCAGGATTTCTCTTTCATTCTTGAAAAGACAAAGATGAATCAGACATACTTCTTTACAATCGGAGGGTCACTTGAAATTTTGTCGGCAGTTTCTTTAAAAAAAATTTTATCAGTTCCTATATTTATATTATTTCGATCGATGACTTTTTATCAACTTTGATTAAAAGTAATTTTCTCAAAATTAATTAAAATAATGTGAATTTTTCCTGATTTGTATTAGAAAGTATTAATTATTATAGAAATTTTATTATAAAATATAAACTGTCAAATTTTTGGTTTATAATTATAACTGGATGAAAATAGTGAATTTGTTTAGGCTAGGACGGCTACGAGCTGGTGGCGCGAAGGGCCCCGGATTGTTCTTTATAATGCCGTGTATAGATTCCTACAAGAAGGTGGATCTTAGAACTGTTTCTTTCGACGTTCCACCACAGGAGGTATAAACAGATTTTTTATATTTAAAGGGACTGTGTAGACGTTACTTAAAGGGACCCTTTGTTCAATTAACTACGGGACCCATCCAATTTTTGTCTACTCATTGATGATGAAAATTACGGCAAATATTTCCCGTTTTAGTATTCATAAAATTCAGAATATTTCATGTTTTGAAAACTTGTATTCAAATGTTTATTTTCTTTGACTCCCGGAAAATATATAATAATATTTTTTAGATATGCAACAGTTTGCATAAATAGCATGAATATTTTTTAACAACGCATTTTTGCGGCTTAACACATCATTTGTACGCAGATAAAAGAACTGTTAATCTATCAATCTAACTTTCACCATGCTTAATGAATTAATATGAACAAATATTTTCATGCAAGATTTATCAACATGCAGTGCCTTAACCCTATTCCTGCTGGTCAAATTGACCCCCCCCCTGTAGTTTTTTTTATTGGTCTGAGGCTGTTGAAATTTTCTGACTTTTCCTACATACCCAAAGCCCTCCCTTTAGGCCTAAAACTGGGTTTTAATACTAACTGCCTGAGTCCTCAGGCACACTGCCTGAGTCCTCAGGCACACTGCCTGAATGACTGCTTTTTCCTGTAACAAACTAAATCTTTGTTTTGACCCACTTCCACTTGTCAGCTTTTGATAAAATTTAGCTTTTTGGAAAGCCTTTGCCATAAGGAAACGAAACGCATAAGTTTTGCGAAAAAAATTGCAATTTTTTTGCAAACAACCTGGCAAAGGAAATTTGCACATTTTTAGTTTTTCTTGATTGAAAATCAGGTTATTTAAAATTTTGCAAAAATTTTTGCATATTTGAAATTGCATGGTCAAGGGCTTTTCAAAAATTTATAATTTTTCATTTTTTGGACAATTTTTTTCTGCAAACATTTTTACTATATAACTGGATTTTGCGATAAAAAATTCAATTTTTGCAAATTTGCAAATTTTTTTGCAGATTCTAAATGTAAAGCACAATAGCTTTCCAATAATGCATCATTTGTCATATTTGGACATCAAACATGGGATTTAGAGGGGGGGAGGTCAAATTGACCCCCCCCCCAGCATATCCTGGTTTTCAAGTATCCCAGCAGAGATAGGGTTAAATGATAGATAACTATGTCTGGTTGGCTTTAAATTGAAAAAATATTGGTGATAAAAGGATAGAAATGACCAAATTGCAGCAAAAGGCAATAAAATTATAACATAACAACGCAACATTAAAGTATAGGAAGACATTTTTTACCATTTGTTTTTGAAATTTCTTTTTGAAAATTATCTTCCCTTGGTTTCCTCCTGCTAGGGAAAGCTCGAAATTATTTCCCCATGGTTTTTTCAAAACTAGAGGGGAAATCATTTCCCCTGCTAAAAGAAGCTGGAAATTATTTCCCCTAATTTTCAACTTGCTAGGGGAAACTAGAAATTCACCCCCCTGGTTTCTCGTAGCTAGGGGAAACTAGGAAATTCACCCCCTGGTTTCTCGTAGCTAGGGGAAACTAGGAAATTCACCCCCTGGTTTCTCGTATCTAGGAGAAACTAGGAAATTCACCCCCTGGTTTCTCGTAGCCAGGGGAAACTAGGAAATTCACCCCCCTGGTTTCTCGTAGCTAGGGAAAACTAGGAAATTCAGCCCCCTGGTTTCTCGCGCTAGGGGAAACTGGAAGTTCACCTAGGAAATGATTTCCACTGCAGGGGTGAAAAGAGAGTGTATAAACTCCCTGCTTTATATTCCGTCAGTTTCTTCAATAATTTTGGAAAACTTGAACTCTTCTTATGACATCTTAAAGTTGTTTTGAGTTTCTACAGGGGGGATGGGGGAGGGGGGGTTGGTGATAAAAAATTTATCATTTTTCAAGTAACTCTTGAAATACATTCAGGAAGGTAAAACATGCATGATTTTTGTAAGATTTTTTTTCACCCTGTGTGGCTTTAAATTTTATAATTTAAGTTATATCTCTGCTGCAGTATTCAGGTTCCTCATGTCTAGGAGCGTTCCGGTATCGAACGACAAGTTTTTGAAAATTAATGGAAGATTTCATTAAAAAAACGGCAAAACGACAAAAAATGGCGCCGTTAACGTTTTCTAAAATATTTTCCGTAAATACCTTTAATCGAATTGAGATCGTTTACGAACTGTAACTGTCAGAGAGAACGGAACTTATGGTAACGAACGGAACGTTCCGTTCTTAGCTGAGAAAGAATGGCTAACTGAAAAGTTGGTGCGTTCTTATTATTTAACCAACTGTTAAAGGGACTGTAAGCGTAATTTCAATGTACCCTCCATGCAAAGATGGCATTGTCAAGTTTACAACGGTACCCTTCAAACCTTTATCTGATCAAAAATGCTGTCGTTTTCTGACTCTAAAAGTGCTTATTTCTATGAGTTTCTCCATTGCATCTTTTGTGGCCTATGTACATTGCGCATGACCATTATAACTAACCCCATTTTACCATGAACACATTTTAAGTATAATGTTTTTGTGATTTACCATTTGGAGGCAGATTATGACGTATTTTGACACAAGCCCATTAGATTGATTTATCAACTTGTATTACCATTTAAGTTGTTTTTCATTTTCTTTTCAAAATGTTATGAATGTTTTCATAAATACAACTGACTGAAATAAGACTGAAATTTATTTTTTCAAATAAAAATGTCCAAAACGATTTGAAAAAGGGAATTTATTTCTTTTTTAACTTTTCATTACTTTTTCTGGATTATGTGAATAAAATTTCATACACTTTTTTCACAGTGGTCAAATTCTCTGAATTTACGAGGTTAACCACAAAGGAAGAGACTTCAGAGACGACTGTACGAAATTTATTCAGTCTTTGTACTTTCACTTAAGTTTTCCTGCAATTGTAAAATTGGTTCTTTCTTAGAGAAATTATTGAATAGATAATAAAAGACGTATAGTTTAGGTGCAAATTGAAATGTTCAGGTGGTTTTATTCAAAAGTTTCAGGCCATTATTGAAGTCTCATCCTTTGTGCGTAATTTTATATCTTTTAATGAATATTTTAAATATTTTGTTGTAAACAATCAAATATTTCTTTTTACAGAGGTAATAACAAATCATTACTCATTAGAAAGCATATTTATTTATATGAAGATGTAAAGTATATATGTCTGTATATGAAGATGTAAAGTATATATGTCTGTATATGAAGATGTAAAGTATATATGTCTGTATATGAATTATCCAGTTACATTTTATAAATTAGAAACATTCTATTCTTCTCAAAACCTCTTCAAAAAGAGGAGTTATGATTGAAAACATGTGAGATATTTCAATTTGAAGTGCAATTTACTTTAGTTTGGCGTGGTTACATGATTCTGTTTAGAGAAAATTATTTTCCTCATCGGTAAATTGATTTAATCATAAACAGTAAACTTTAAAGAATAATGAAAAATAAAGATCTCCGATGAAATTTGGAAACATCAAAACAATTCTCTATCTATATATAAACAACGACGTGGGAAATAGTCTGATTTTATTTTATGTTTTTACTATGTTTTTTCTTTATATTTCCGATCGTAACTCATTAACTCTTGAACCGATTTGCCTCAATATTAGATCAGCGTGAATGTTCTTAGTTTGGTTTAAAAAGTCAAAATTGGTGACTTTGAAAAAGAGGTTTATGAGTTGGGATCAGACATTTAAACAAACAGACAGGCAAAGAAAAAGGAATTACTTATTTATATAAATGCAATTGTTTTGAAAAAAGGGGGAAAAATAGACAATTGAACACTTATGGAACAATTTCAAAATTTATGTATTTCACAATTTTTTATTACAAATCCAACTTTGCTTCCGTAGTTCATATTTTTTCGAGAAAATGTATGAAGCGAAAAATGCGAAAACGAAGCAAAATTTCGCGAAAAATTCATTTGCGAAAATTCGTAAAATTTTATTCTGAAAATTTTGCCTTTAATAATGAATTTTCGCGAAAACTGAAGCGTAATTTTGCGAAAAAAATGCGAAAATTTTCGCATCTTTCGCGAGTGAACGAAATGCAAAAAAATGTGAAAAATTTCCTTTTTCGCTGGAAACCGTAGGGGACAGAAGGAAATTTCCCTTCTACTTTTTGCGCATGGACACCCCAGTTATCAGTTATAAAGAAAAAATCACGGCCCGCTTATAGATATGATTCTATCTATCTATCTACACTGAACTCGGCCACAGTACAAATTTTATTTTGTTTTTTACTGAATAGTCTTATCAACCATTTTATAAATACTACTGTTGTCGTCGCTTATATGTCAATATAAGGTAGACGACTTTTGATTTTATTTTTTTTTCTGCCAAGCTTTCAAACAGCGTGGATTCACATGAAACATGGAAACAAAGAGAAGCTGTCATATATGCATCTTCTCTTTGTTTGATCGTAGACTTGTAATTTTAAAAAAATGCTAGAATTCAAAACTTTGATAGAAAACTCGTCTTTACTGTATTGATATAAACGCCGATTCAAATATTTATTTTGTATAAAGTTCTACGTGTATTTATCGCAACGATATTATATTAAAGAGACTATAACAATAATTTCAAGCAACCCTTCTTGCTTATTCGAAACGATGCAGAAATTCGCAGAAATAAACCCTTATGGAACCTTCCATTTTTTATCAGAGTTGGGAACTTTAGAATGGGAAACCATTAATCCCGACTGTTTAATCCGAATATTCAATGTGGACACTTTTAATTTCTTGCTTAATCCACTCTTTTTTGGATATAGTACAGAAAAATCAAAAACCAGTTTTTTAAAATTAAGAGTCCTTTCCGTTTCTGTATATAATCTTAAATGGCACGCAAAATTTAAAATTTACCGGCTTTTGATACGAGGCTCTGATTGGTTGAATTTTATACACAAGATTAAGTTAGTCTCGAGATTAAGAAAAAGATCGAGGATTAAGCATTAATCTCGATATCCACCATTCTAAAGTTCCCGGCTCAGATTAAAGTTTCAAGAGTAAATGGGGCATTGCTATCTTTCCATGGAGGGTCACTTAGAATTGCTTTTACTGTCCCTTTAAGAAGGCATTACCAATGATTCATGAAACCTGATTATTAAAAAGATAATTAAAAATCATTCTAGTTATTTTACGGTTTATGTCCAATAATAGTTGATTCCCCGCATATAACATGCATACATTAATACATTATACAATTTACTTTTCCCAATTACGCTTTATGCTTTGCTTAGTAGTTATTAATGAATTAGGGAGGTAACAGTGTATATTAATTAATATACACTCCACTTTACACTCCAGGATAAGGTTAAAAAGTGATAATATGATAATATGTATAATATGATATTAAATATAACTAGAAGTTTTTGATAATTTTAACAGAACTGGGAATTTCGTTTGGATACTCATATCGCTTGATCTCGATATCCACGGTAGTCACTTTTAATTTAAGGATGAATGCTTAATCTCTTCATTTTAGTTATTCCTCCCCCAACCCCTGATCAAAGCTTCCTTCAACCCCTGATCAAAGCTTCCTTAAACTCCTGATCAAAGCTTCCTTAAACTCCTGATCAAAGCTTCCTTCAACCCCTGATCAAAGCTTCCTTCAACCCCTGATCAAAGCTTCCTTAAACTCCTGGTCAAAGCTTCCTTCAACCCCTGATCAAAGCTTCCTTAAACTCCTGATCAAAGGTTCCTTCAACCCCTGATCAAAGCTTCCTTAAACTCCTGACTAAAAATACACTTCTACTCTTCATTGTGAACGATTACCAAAAGATTAACGAAAGATCGAGATCTAGTTTTGATCTTACGGATATCTACAATACTATCTTTTCCATGATAAATTTCGTGAATTCATTAGAACTAACAAGTCTTAAAACAAATGGGACATTTATTGAAATATTAGCAAGACCCCCATAAATTTCACTAGCACACGTGGATTTAACGGTCCTGTCAATATTCCAGAAAGCTGTGACTTTCGATCACATTTTAACCCATCAAACATAATTTGTAAGCCTTTTTCCTTTTATACTTTTTTTTGGCATATACATTTTGAATGAAAATGTATAGAATAAACAAATCCATAAAGTAAAAGATTGTTGAATTAAAGACCAAAATACATAGATAACTTAGAAAGTATAGACATTTAGTTCCAAGTACATAGATAACTTAGAAAGTATAAACATTTAGTTCAAAGAACATAGACAACTTAGAAAGTCGGGATCTCCAAACCAAAGATATGTCTCTTAGTCATAGGACAAGCTAAATAGTAAATTGTGATTTTTTTATTTGTATTAACTCGTGCTTTGTAGTTGAATAAAATATGAATATGAATAATAGAAAATGTGGATCTGATCCGTTTTCACAGTATTTATTAACAAAAGATTTGCATATATCCTCCCTCAAACCCAATATTTTTTATTATTATGTAAGAAAAGCAAGCTGGACTGGGAACTTTAGAATGGGATACCATTAATCCCGACTGCTTAATCCGAATATTCATTTGATTTCTTGCTTAATCCACTCTTTTTTGGATATAGTACAGAACAATAAAAAACCAGTTTTTTTTAAATTAAGAGTCCTTCCCGTTTCTGTATATAATCTTAAATGGCACGTTAAACTTCAAATTTACCGGCTTCTGATACGAGACTCTGATTAGTTGAATTTTATACACTTTTTAGGATACAAGTACAAGATTAAGTTAATTTCGATATCCACCATTCTAAAGTTCCCAGCTCTGTATCCAAATAGATTTTGGAACTACTTTTAAGCCAAAAATCCTTTGAAGCTTACTTTAAACATTTATATGATTAGTAATTGAAAAATATAGTCTACTTTCTAGCTTAAAAGTATTGATTTCCAATAATTCATTCGGCAGAAATGCGCAAGTTACTTTTCTTAATAAACCATAATTGAGAAAATAATCAGTTTTGGAAGAGAAGAACAAAGATAACTTTAGAATGGGAAACCATTAATCCCGACTGTTTAATCCGAATATTCATTTGATTTCTTGCTTAATCCTTATTCGAAACGATGCAGAAATTCGCAGAAATAAACCCTTATGGAACCTTCCATTTTTTATCAGAGTTGGGAACTTTAGAATGGGAAACCATTATTAATTCATTCGGCAGAAATGCGCAAGTTACTTTTCTTAATAAACCATAATTGAGAAAATAATCAGTTTTGGAAGAGAAGAACAAAGATGCATAATTCATTCATGATTATACAAAGCTATTCATAGGACTGTTGTGAATCAGACTTGCCACTCTAAAATGGGAGTACCTTTAATTTTTAAAAACTAATTAAATATGAAGACAGTAGGTTACTTATCTGAAGGCAAAACTTGTCACTCAGTGCTCAGCTAAATGCTTCATTCCCCCCCTCCGGGAACGACGGGTCAATATTAAACAGTATTGGAAACCACATCCATGCCACATCAGTACCGGCCGGTCTAGTGTACCTATAAGTAAACCCAGCGCGTTTTATTGCACAAAATATATGCTAAAGTCGGAAATTTTGTGTTTTTAATCTCGGGATTTAAAGTGCTCCGATAGGATATCGAGATCAAGCGTCAAAATTAACGATACTCCACACAAAAGCTCTGTATCTATGTGTATCTATGTGTATCTATGTGTATCTATGTGTATCTCTAACAATATCCATTTGATGGTTCTGATCTCCGGTTTTCTCTGAGTTGAAGTTAAAACTACAATTACCGAAGCAGGACCCAAGAGATCACTATATAGTCCTCTAAGGAGATAAAATATTGTTATTTACTCAAATTGGATTTTAAACTTTAAAAATCACCATTTTGATAAGGATCTCCGTGTAAAAGCAAAGTTAAAGATACACTTCAATTTGGCAGACATTTTTTAAAAGAAAACCTATGGGTACCCTGGGGGTAAAATAGACTAAAAAAATTTGAAATTTTATTTTTAAATAAGAGCGTAAAATTGTTTAAAAATATTTCACCAATTGTTTCAGTCAGTAGATGAAACGTTTTTAAAAATGCTTACTGATTCCTTCAGTTTTATTCTACAATACTCCATTAACAACTCACTCACCATGTTTATCCGGTCTCTCCCTGAAAGTGGTTTTTAATTAAAAGAGACTGTTCCCTGTTAAGGTGTTATCCCGTGACTCTGTAACAGTGAGTGTTGAAGCTGTAGTTTATTATAGAGTATCAAACCCAACCTTAGCTACAAATAATATAGAGGACTACAGGTAATAGTAATGAATACTACTGCTACTACTGCTACTACTACTACTACTACTCTACTTCTTCTACTACTACTAATACTACTACTACTACTACTAATAATAATAATAATAATAATAATAATTATAATGATAATCAAACGATTATGATAATGTTGATTTACATAGCAATCATGATAATAATTACGACAATGATGATTATGATGATGATGATAATGATAATGATAACAATAAAGATGATTACAATGATAACAATAATGCTTGTAGTCACTCTACCCGTCTACTAGCCGCCACAACACTAAGAAATGTTCTAGGAACAAGAAATCTTGCAGAGATACTTTCAGGTTATTCATTTATTCATTTATTCATCCTTTCATTCATCCTTTCATTCATTTATTTTTTAATCTTACTTTCATTCACTAATTCATTTATTGAAACTTTTATTCATTTATTCATTAATGTATTCTTACTTTCATTCGCCCATTCATTTATTTATACTTTCATTCATTTATTCATTAATTTAGTCATACTTTCATTCACTCATTCACCTATTAACCCCTTTCATACTTTTATTCACCCATTCATTAATTCATACTTTCATTCACCCCATTAATACTTTTATTTATCCTTTAATTTTCTTTATTAACTAATTCATTCTTTTAATTGAGATATTTATAATTCTAGTTCAGGCGCAAATACACAAACTACGCGAAATGACGTAACGTGCACCCTATCATACGCAAAATGGCAAACATTTGGGCAAAATTGCACGCATTACTTAATTACTAATTGCATCCAAAATTGTTGCAATTTACACGTAAAATGCGCGTTCATTAAAATTTGATTTAAAGAGTTTACATGTTTATGTGCACACATCAAAATGAACAACTAGTGCCTAATTATAAACAGTAAAGAAAATTTGCCAATCAGCAGGAAATTATTTTTTGCAAGTAAATTCTGGTGTGAAATTATTACAATTTTGTGAAATATGTACAACAAATTTTCGCTCAAAGGTAGCAATTGCGTTCACACTTGTTTTTGGTGGTAATCTTAATAATTATCAATATTTCAACAATCGTACATTTTTTGTCAAGAATTTTCTTATTTACAGAAAGAGAATCCATATCCAAAGTAATGCAAGACGCATTAGATGAAGCAACAGATTCGTGGGGAGTTAAGGTAAGGGTAGGAGTAGGAGTAGGAGTAGGAGTAGGAGTAGGAGTATCGTTTTCAAAGTTAAAATTTCCTCACTTTTAAAATAAAAGAAGTTAAAATTCAAACAACAAATTATTACAATCAAAGTGCCACGGAAGATAAGAACTTTAATTGGTCAAATTATCTTTGTAAATATCTCTTTTTCACAAATATAAAATGCAGGCTGTGCTATAGAAACTTTTAAATTACATCTATAACTTAAACTATTTAAAAAGCCCTACTATAATATATGAACAAAATATGAATGAAATGTTTGTGTTTAGGCCGAAAGAGTGGAGATGTAAGTATACTTTTGTAGTAATTGTTCGTAAGCTAGGGTAATATGAGGTGATACCAATTTTTACACAGGGGATTTGAAGTATGGTTTTCTAAGTATCCAAGAAATGTTTACTTAACCCTATTCCTGCTGGGGGGGGGGGTCTGAGGGTCAAAACGGGCCTTTAAACTGACTGCCTGAGTCTTCAGGCACACTGCCTGAATGACTACTTTTTCCTGTAATAAGCTAAATCTTTGTTTCGACCCACTTTTAGTTGTCAGATTTTGATAGTTTTTGACTTTTTGGAAAGCCTAGACATAAGGAAACGGATTGCGCAAGCTTTGCAAAGAAATTTTTGCAAACTATTTGCATACAACCCTTCAAAGAAAATTTGCACATTTTCTATTTTCTATAGAAGTTTTCTGATATTTTCAAAGATTTATTAGTTGCAGATATTGCAATTAAGTCCTTAACGCCATTCCATAGTTTTCTAGTTCTCACTTTATGAAAATTTTAAAATGTGGGTCCAACTTTAAGTGATTTTGGTCGTCTTTCTAATCCATTTTATTCTTGCCATATCATATTAAATAAACATATTGGAAACTAAATCTTTCTTTTATGTTCATCAGCGTACAAACATAATTTACTTATTATTACTACTTTTCTTTTTTTTAAAACATGATATCTATATTTTATCATGCAAATTTCATTCAATTTATTGAATAAATCACAAACACCCGGTGCAATCCTAATCAAAGAGTCAAATGTGGAAAATGGAAAAAGGGATTTGATCCTATTCCTGCTGGGGGAGGCCCCCCCCCCCGTAGTATTTTTTACATAACTCAACAAGTATTGGTCTGAGGCTTTTGAAATTTTCTGTCTTTCTTGAATACCCATAGCCCTCACTGTAAGAGTAAAACCGGGCTTCTCTCAGTTCTCAGGCACACTGCCTGAATGACTACTTTTTCTTGTAACAAACTAAATCTTTGTTTTTACCCATTTTTAGTTGTCACATTTTATAAATAACTTTTACCTTTTGGAAACGGATTGCACAAGTTTTGTAAAGAAATTTTTGCAAATTAGTTGCAAACAGCAATAGATAAATAATTGGATACAATTCCCGTTACTAGAAATTTAAACATTTTTTAGTTTTTTTTTAACGAAACATCAGGTTATTTAAAATTTTGTAAAAATTTTTACTTATTTGAAATGACATGGTCAAGGGCTTTCCAAAAATGTATATTTATCATTTTTTTGCAAACATTTTTACTTTATAACTGGATTTTGCAAAAAAAGAAATTGGAAATTTTTTTGCCGATTCTATAAGTAGAGCATGAGAGCTTTCCAATGATGAATCATTTGTCATACATCGACATCAAACCCTCCCCCCGCCCAGCATATCCTGGTTTTCAAGTACCCCAGCAGGGATAGGGTTAAAAAATGTCTATTTTTAAATGATTATGATGTATATGAAAGTACTTGACACATATACACAAAAACAAGACCATCTCTTTCAACATTATTCATAGTTATGGAAATTCTTTATTTGATTTCATATCAGTTTTCGGCAAGTCATCATGGGGATAAAATAATTATTTTGGGCTATTTCGTGCAAGGCTATTTCGTGCAAATAAATGTATCTGAAAGGAACTTCTAGGGGTAACTAACTTTAAGTGTCTCTTTTTTAAAAGCTTTGAATGCCAAAATCACAACTCTTTGTCTGATCAAGGATGCATGATCAATCATAAAAATATATAAAAAATAATTATATTTTAAATTTTTTTCTTTATAGAAAAGATGTCAGACTTCCAGTTCATTTACAAAGAGCAATGGCAGCCGAAGCAGAAGCAGCTAGAGAAGCTAGAGCTAAGGTATCTAATATCTATACCAAGTAAAACTAACAACATCAAGTCTGTATTGGAATATTTTCCGTCATATTTTGATCTCTCATTCAAAATTTGCCAAAAATGATTAAAAGACCTTATATTCTTAAATATTTTAAATGCAACGCCTTTCATAAAAGTATGAAATAGCAAATACGAAAAATCTACACTTAATGGGTGAATATGTTTTCTAGCGTTAAGAATCTATAGAAATCTTTAAATTATTTATTTTGGATTAAAAAATTAGCATCTGAAGGGTTAGACCCGAAGCTAGAGTGGGGGCATGGGCACGCATGAATGTAAAAACAAAGCTGAATAAGTTCTGCACAGCCGTTTCTGAAGTCATATCCTTTGTGTTTTAAGAGCCCATGTGGTCCTTCATGCAAAGATGTCAATGCCCAACTTACGTCGTTACCCTGAAAAGGTTTGTCTGTTCAATTATCTATGTTTACAATGACGTAATTTCAATTGACCGCTGAATTTAAGATTCCCAACAAGAAAAAAATTGTGGTTTTTATATTTTTAAACATTTAGAGCTTTGACAATTTCATTCCTTATCTTTTCCTCGTGATACCGCCAATCATTTGTATAGAGTAACCACAAATTGAGAGTTATCAATTAACAGACAGAAAAACAGCAAAAGCTTTGTGATTTTTGCCAAAGGACGGTTTAAAGGGTATTGTTGTGAATCGAATATGTCTCTTTTTAGATGAAAACCCGACTTGGAACTCATTTAACTGGCTTTAACCCCTATGTGTTAAGGTGATAGCAGCAGAAGGAGAACAGAAAGCTAGTCGAGCACTACGAGAAGCTGCAGATGTTATTGCTGAAAGCTCAGCTGCACTGCAGGTACAGGATACAGGGGTTATCAGAATTCAATGGGTTGTTCTTGTAATCCTAGCTTGCTTATTCCCCCTCCATATCTCCCTACTTTATTCTTAAGCCTTGCATACTTGAACACTAGATATTTTAAAGCAAAAACACTTACATATATTTGTGAAAATCCTTGATTTTTGTTGGTTTTTATTGGGGCTAAACGGTCGAGCTGGGAAATTACCATAAGGCAGAATACTGTACCGGAAAAGTTCATGTGTTTTAAGGTCACTGGAACAAATTATTCGTTTCTTTAAAATTCTTTAAATTTTAGTAAATTTTTAGTTTTTGATTTGTTGATATTTCAGCTTCGCTACCTGCAGACCCTGAGTACCATATCAGCTGAACACAATTCAACAATTATCTTTCCAATGCCAATAAATATTTTCGATCAGTTTATGAGGAAAAAATAATTATTTCATCTCAGAGGAAAAAATATTATCATTTCTTTTAATGAGAAAAAAATTACTATCTATGCCCGGTTCATGAGGAAAAATAGATATTTTGAAAAAGTTCTTGATGAAAAATTGATCATTTTGACAATATATGAGGAAAATATTAACATTATCAAACGTTATTCTAGGCGCACAGGGAAAAAAATATGCATATAAACACAGAGTAAGCAGTTGTATTGGCATCCATTTAATTGCCCAATGGACCTGGAGAACACAGTCACGAAAGACAAACTTTAGAAAGACGATTTTCGTTGGGAACTCGCTCTAAAATTGGCTTTAACTCTAGATTGGTGCAAGGACCCTATTGCAAACTTCAAATCCCCCCAAATTGGTTTATTCCAAATTGAATCTTTTCAGAAGTACTTCGATGTCTTTTATTGTACTCCAAAAGTTAGTTTTTGTCAGAGTTTGTCGTCTCTAAAGTTTGCGATTAAAAAACTCTTTTCCAAAGTTTGTACCTCCAGTGCTTGTATTTAGAGTTCGTTCCTCTGAAATTTGTCTTTCCGACATTTGTATTTCCGAAATTTCTTTGTGTACTATTTTACCTCTGAGTCTAGGGTTGTTAATCGTTTTTGAAAACTATCATTAAACGATCGTTTTTTTCGTTTTCCTATCGTTTTTGTTTCGTTTTCCGATCATTTTAAAAACAATTGTTTTAAAAACTTTAAAAAAACGATAGTTTTTAAAACGATCGGAAAACGAAACAAAAAACGATAGGAAAACGAAAAAAATGAAAACGTTAACATCCCTACCTCTGACTGTACATAAAGTTGATGATTCGTTGTACTGCTTGAGGTTATTCTTTACATTGTACGTACATTGTAGGCCATGAAAAGAGCTGACTCTCTGTGTTCTAACAATAGATAAATCATTAAATCTGTGTATCTATATCTATGTATTTATATAACAATGATCCTTCTCCTGTCATTTATTATGATTGTACAAATATCCCTATATACTAACTTACGTAAATTTAACGTAAAATTTACGTAATATTCGGTTAATTTACATATTGTTGGTGATTTACGAATTTTAGTACATGGGGATACTCCATGTTAAAAGTATTACTACACTGTAACTAATTTCAGAGCCATTTATGGGTTACTGACAAAAATAGATGTTTTTAAATTTGAAACCATTTTAATAAAGATTTTTTTGTATTAGTATGTTATTGTTAAAATAAGAGTTATATTAATTATTTTGGCGTGCTATAAGTTTAAAGGAAAAGAGTTACTCAACGATTAACTTTATTTAAAAACTTAACTTAACTAGTAAAATAATTGAATATATAACACATGATTTTATATCAGCTGATCTGGAAACTCCTCCTTGGATTTCTCTAGAATATTCAGGAAGACGATATTCATATCCGCCACAGTACTCCCCCCAGAAGGATGGACTGCATTTATGTAGCCTTTACAAAGGTACAGACATTTCAAAAAACTAACTTTGATTTATCTTCAATCCAATTCAATTGATATATTATCTCAGTGTCATCTTTGATTGTTAATATTTTATGAATTATGAAGATAAGATAGACTTTGAAAGAAAAAAGCTATTGTGAGACGAGCTTATTTCGGTAATTGTCTTGAAATTTCTCTCAGATAAAATATTTGTTTGTCAATATTCTGGAATTTCTTGCTTCTTTCATTTTTAGATGTCAATTGTCAAGTTTATATTTATTACCAAAGAATCAGTTTTGTTTGTTGTTCGGTCTGTCTGTCCATCTTTTTGTCTAATTGTTTCTCTGTTTGTTTACCAAAGAGTACGAATGATGTGCTTTCTCTAATCATGATGATTTTTGTTTAAGGATGGGTATTAAAACCTTTTTAAAGAATTGGACATAAAAAATACTCTTTTAAAAAAAAAAATACTAAATTACAGTTTACAATTAAATCAAAATTATTTTTTTCTGTTCATTCCTCTGAGTTCAGTCATAAAATCTCAAATGTATTTAGATTCTCGTACTCCAAGTAAACTTCTTCCGCGGTCCCAAACCTTCTCTAGAACGCTAACTTTTAGGTGGTAGAGTTCATGTCCAGGAAGTTTGAAATGTTCTCCTGTAGGCTGGTTTGTATGGAGATTTCTAATGTAACCAATATGTTCTCTCACTCTTTCATTTAAAGATCTTGTTGTCAGTCCTATATACTGTAGTTTACACTGCTCACATTTCTGGTCTTACAGTTGAAAGTTCCATTAATCTCAATCTTCTTACTGGTATTAGAGGGTTGTATAACTGTTCCAGGCTCTATGGAGGGACAAGTTGGGCAATTTAAACCACAAGGTTTCATACCAGGTATTAGCCTCTTTGGCCTCATTCTAGGAGGATCTGGAATTTTGGCTCGGATGAGTTTATCTCTGAGATTAGGAGGTCTGCTATAGGTAACCATAGGTGGATTTTGAAAAACCTCCTTCATCCAGGGATCCTGGACCATGGTTATGTTTCTGTATGATTGAGGAGATACAAGGCAGCTGGGGATTAAATGAGATAGAGAATATAACTCGATCTGGTTTCTCCTTTTTCTCCACTTTCTTTAAAGCAACTTCTATAGGTATAGCTTTAGTTCGGACTATAGCAGAGTCAACAATTGAAGAATTGTAATCCTTGTAATCCTGAGAAGCTAATCCCTTAGTTTTGAGAATTGTGCATCCCTAAGTTCTGGTTTGCTGCAAATTCGTACAATTCTGTATGCAAGTGAATAAGGTATGTTGTTAGAAATATGTGCTTGGTGGCAAGATGATGTAAGAAGGTACATAAATCTATCTGTGGGTTTTCTGTAGAGATCTGTTGTGATTTTTCCATCTTTAATGTACAGTTTTGTGTCAAGGAATGGAATACTTTTTGTTCTGGCACCAACAGTCATGTTCATCCTTTAAACCACAATAAAATGGAGAACTATGTTCTGGAGTAAACTTGATTATAGGATGAATTTTATTGACATCATCCAGGAATTGATATAATTTCTCAATAGAATCTGTCCAGATTCAAAAACAATCATCCAGAAATCTTTTCCAGGTCTTCAGGGGGCACTCATCAATTATTATCATCAGTTATTTCGTATGTATTTACAATTTGATCATCAAGCTTAGCCATAAAAATGTTTGCATAGGAAGGGGCTGGATGTATTCCCATTGCTGTTCCTATCAATTGTTTGTACAGTTTACCACCAAATTCAAATATGTTATTTTTCAAAGAAATGTTTAGCAGCTCAATCATTCTCAAGATGACGTCTTGCAGTTAGGGTTTCCAAAAAGTTGATTTTACATGTGTGCAATTACGGGCCTCGTAATTTTCGCGCAGTTCCGAGCAATTTCATGCATTTTCGCGCAATGGAACTTTGATTGGAAAACCTACATTTAATTCTCATCGTATTAAGAAATTATTGTGTTTGTTGGGACATAACGTACAATAATAGCAAATGTTTTTTCAAACTTAAAGGAATTGTTGACGTAATTTCATGTAAGCCACCATTTGTAAAGTAGCATGTCCGATCCCTATGTTACCCTTTTAGCCTTTTATCGAGCAAGGTGACGCTATATATAATCTTATACAGGATTACCCACAAAGGATAAGACTGTAAAGACGACTTGAAACTCTTTCAATATAACAATCCCAAGCTTTGCTTTAGCTTCTTCTTCCTGAAATGTGGTCTTCATTTAAATGGCTTATTCAATGATTTGGCAAGAATAAAGTGTATAGCTGCGGGGAAACATACAGTGTAAAGTTTGTCCAGTCGTCTCTAATGTTTTATTCTTTGTGGGTAACCCTGTAGCTGAGTATTAAGTTTAGAGTTCTTACATTGGTTACAGTGTACACAAGGCGGTTTCCACATGGATATTTATTAATCTATGGGTTTCCAGTTATGAAATTTAAAATCCTAGATCAGACAAAGTTAAAGGGTATTGTTTGAAATTGAAGGGTCAGCTAAAATTAAATCTACAGTTCCTTTTATTAAAAAGAAAATGTTGCTTGTAAAACAATAATTGTAAATTTAAAAATAAAAACATTAAACGTCTGCAATAAACAGAACGATAAAGGAATAATTTATAAAAACAAAACGAATTTAAGTTTTATATAATTACAATTCTTTTAATATTTAAAAGTCTGTTGTTTGACTAAATATTTTTTAAACTAATTTAGTCTTTGCCACAAAATAAATTTTCTATTTCCTATATCTTTGCAACCTGACGGTGTAAACCTTCAATATTTCAAACTTAGATTTTGTGATCTGACAGAATTCATAGTTTAAAATATAATATGTTTGCGACATTGGGTTGAAAAGATATAGGGATTAGAAAAAAAATGTTGTGGCAAAGACTCAATTCCTTTAATTAATAATTATTAATTTATAAGATTTTTTTTGTATTGTTAATTTCAAGCATGGATTTTTATCTTATGCAGACTTAAAGATCAATTTGCAGGGTTCTTATCTTTCAAATTTAGAAAGTTGTCACAAAAGATATCTCAAGCAACGATGTAATGATTAGCACCATTTCACATAAATATTTTAGGTAATATGCTACAGAAACTTCTGATCTTTGTTTACAAAAAAGAGCACAACAGGTTTTGGAAGGAAGGAATACAATTTAAACTGTAATAAATCCAACTTTTTTTTTTGGGG